GTCCTGGACTCCATTTCAAAAAAAAAAAATTTAACGAAACATTAGCTAAAGTTCGTTTTATTTTTTTTTTTTGTAAGTCCAGAGCGCTGAAAGTACCAGTTCCAGACTCTATTTTGAAGGTAAAACTTCGAAACTAATATTTTTTATATACCGGACGTTGTCCAACGTTCGGTTTATTATTTTCTTGTCCTGAATGCCAAAGAATGGCTCCGGACTCTTATTTCGAAGGTAAAACCTTTACCTTCAAAATTTTTTTTTATATTTTTGTTTAACGAACGTCGCTAATGTTCGTTTTTACATTTTATAGGTCCTGGACGCTAAAGAATGGCTCCGGACGTTTATTTTGAAGGTAAAGTTTACCTTCAAAATATTTTTTTTAATTTTATTTTAACAAACGTTAATTAACGTTCGTTTTTATGTTTTATAGGTCCTGGATGCCAAAGAACGGCTCCGGACGTTTATTTCAAAGGTAAAGTTTACCTTTGAAATATTTTTTTTAATTTTATTTTAACGAACATTAATTAATGTTCGTTTTTACATTTTATAGGTCCTGGACGCCAAAGAACGGCTCTGGACATTTATTTCGAAGGTAAAGTTTACCTTCAAAATATTTTTTTAATTTTATTTTAACGAACGTTAATTAACGTTCGTTTTTCATATGGGCTAATTTCGCTCATCTTCAATTCTTTCACCTTGATCAACAATGTGATAATCACGAACTCTGATTAGCTGATCAGATATTAGTTAGTTTTTTTTCAGAGGTCGTGTCGTAGTTATGGCGAGCCAGTCTTCTATCAGTTGCAAGCTTTGTTTTAGAGCTTTTATGACTTATCAAAAATTGCTTATTCACAAAAGAAATAAACATTCACATAACAAAACAATACCCCACTTTTGTTCGCTTCCCCAACCCTCTTCGGAACAAATGTCTTACTATATTAACTCTTTTATTGTTCTTATTAAAAAAAAACTTGGATTTTCCCGTCATGCTATTGGGAAAAAACGTTTTTCTATCGAAACTTTCCCAGAAAATGTGTTTGTATATCTTTTTAAAAATGAAGAAAAGTTTAAATATAGTCCTGCTAAACACAAATATCAATGTTGTTTTGAAGGATTCGCAGGAGCAGCTAAACTTAAGGAAATATTTCACTATGATCATTGGAATTTCCGACAGAATCCCTTTACTAATACTAAGGGTTATGTTTTACTTGAGGATTATGAAAATACGTATCAAGTCAAATTTATGTGGAATCAAACGACATTATCAGAGAATAACAGAGAGTTCACGTTGGGAAGAATGACCTGTAATTTCATTACTGATTCTGGAGAATTTCAGGAAAAGTATGTTTTATAACGCAAACCTATTTTTAAAATGCATATTTTTTTTTTTTTTAATATAGTAATGAGAAACAAATAGCAACATTGAATAATCAAAAATCACCTGAAGAATCTATTAAAGGAAAGTTTTGTTATATTTTACCGTGACCACCACTTCAGAATATAAATCAATATAGTAAGTTTAAAATTTTACCTTATTAATTGTTGTTTTCTTTATCTTCTGCATTAATATTTCGTATCTGGATTTCTTGCGAAGTATTATTAAGCAAATAAAATAGCTGACGATTTTCAAATTCCATTATATCTTGTACTACAGATTTTCCTTTAATCCCGCCACCCATAGTAGTGCCACCAAAAAATAACCGAACCTAAATGAAAAATTTAAAAGTAATTAAAGTTTGTTTAATAATTAATAATTTAATAATTTATATTTACCTGGTTATGATTTTTTTTTTCAATACTTGAAGCAAAAAAAAACTGCAATGACAAATTCTTTTCTTTAAGGATTCGCAAAAATTCAGGAATGTGCTGCGAAAAGATATGCATATACGGTGTGACATCTTCCTTTCTGTATAAACCTGGTACTTGTGATGATGAATTTATCTGACCTTGATTTGGCCTACAAAACAAATAAATCCATTCTTTTACTTTAATTTCAAAATCATCAATCTCGGAATTCTTAAGATCTGTTCGTCTTATAAACATATATAGATCGTAAAAATCACGCCAAAGTTTTTGAATATCTTCACCACGTCTTCCTGAGATAAAATTAGTGACTGGAAAATGTTGTAGAACTTTTTTCTTATTAGGTCCCATCAACGAAGTCCAATCCCATTTTCCACCCTGTGACTTAAAAAATTCAAAATGTACTTGAATAGATTTCATAGTTTGTTCGATTTGACTTTTAATTACCCGTTCAAATTCCTTTTTTTTAAATAAGTTATTAAAAAAACATTCCATCAATACATCTGAGATACGTAATAATAAATGTAGTTCGTCAGGAATGTAATTTTTCTGTTTGATAACAGGAAATAATTCGGGTTTTTTCTTAGCTATAATTAAAAAAATTTTAAACTAAATGTTAAAGTTAATATAATAAATAAATGCTTTATTTAATAAAAATATTTTAAACTTACATTGCGTATTTTTATTAATTGGCCACTTTAAATTCATGTCCCAGCGAATATTAGATTCACATTCACAATATAAACAAAAATATTTTGAGTTTGGTGCATTTAATCCCATTACGTTATACATAAACTTCCAATCACTAGAAAGAAAAAACTCAATTGGCCAGTGTATGCCATTAACATAAATTCCATTTTCTTTAAGGTCCAAAAGCTGAAGCTTGAATAAATGGCCAACTTTGGCCAATGTTTCGTATTTTTCTTTTCCCACATAAAGACAAATACTATTTCTTATTTAGTTATTTTAACAAAAAAACATATGCTATAAACTCTATCTTACCAATATTGATAGTCTGGCTTTAACACTTCATCTTTTTCATTTAACAGACAGAAAGTTAGCATCACATGATTCTGTTTATGACCCACATTTCTTCCATCACCACTGAGTTTTAAATTTATTGTATCTCCTGATTGTAGAATTGGTGGAACTGATTTATTCCAAATAGGAATAAGTGTTTGAAGAAGGGTTCGGACTGATCGATAAACACCATTTCCAACTTCTTGTTCATCAACTATAATTCCATCAGGATTACCTTGAGGTTCATCATTATCATCAAGTATAGATTGCTGATCAAGTCCTTTATCAAGATTAAATGTTCCAATGTTTATTTGGTTATTTATTAATTTAGTGATCTCAATTCGCCTATGTGCAACTTGATACTCCCGTATCAATCGTGCTTCTATAGTTGCAAGCCTTCGATACCCATCACGACTTAATAAGGTCTCATCACATACACGTACATATGCATCTAACCTTGTAAGATCCAATAATGAATTATATTTTATATTAATGATATTATTCCCATTTTCTAATTCCATACTACGTATACAAATTGGCTCCTCAGATTCTGAGACCATTCGATGTTTTAAGATAAGGTTTTTAACTTTCTTGTAAGCATCTCTTCCAAATGATGCATATCGTTTGTTTTGCTGTGACAATGATTGTATTTCATTAAGTGGTCTTTTTCTTTTATCAATAGTAATTTTATCAGTTGATAGTTCTCTAGGTTGTTCAATTCGTAATTGATGCAATATTTTAATATCAAATCCAAAGACATGTACTCCAGAAATTTGAGATTTTTTACGATTAGTTTTCTACATTGATATAAAATAATTAATAAAATAGTAAAAATGCATAAAACGTGTTGCGCAAAATAATTAAGATACCTTTAGGAACTCATTTACAGCCCCACTAGCAGATCGCTCACTAGATACCATCCATTCTGCTCGTCTTTCTTTCCATGTAATAGTGTATAAAACCTTATTTGCCAAAGTATACTTTGTTTCACAACATAGCATTTGATCTGCAATTTCCGTTTTCACATTATATCCATCTGGTATCGGATATTGAACAGCATTATGGTTATTTTTTTGTGTATATTTAATATTCTGTGGGTAATGTCCGAGTGTTATTATCTTATATTTTGAACAAAAATTTTTTCCTCCAGAAGTGTATTGAGCATATATATAAGGATCATTAGGATAATTATGGTAAAAAATTCTTGCAGTCTACTTGTAAATAATTAATAGTTAAGTTAATAAATACATATATTATTTTACAAAGTAAAATTACTTACCATAACGCGTTATAAAGAGTTGTTTTATATAAATTTTGTTTCTTAATTAAAAAAACTTTTAAAACTTGAATATTAAAAATAAAAATACCTTCTTTTAATATTTTCTTAATTTCGCGATGAACTCTTCCAAACCCATTTACAACTCATTTGAAACAAATGATTTCAATAGTAAAAAAATTTTTTTTCTTGTTAATCAGAACGACAATTGGCTCGAAATTCAAGTTATCACGCATTTTGGTAGTACAGATCAGGATCATGTCACAAAATGTACTTAGTGAAATGAGCGTCAGTGATCAGCCCATATGTCATGTTTTTAGGTCCTGGGCGTCGAAGAACGGCTCTGGACGTTTATTTCGAAGGTAAAGTTTACCTTCAAAATATTTTTTTTAATTTTATTTTAACGAACATTAATTAACGTTCGTTTTTACGTTTTATAGGTCCTGGACGCCAAAGAACGGCTCCGGACGTTTATTTCGAAGGTAAAGTTTACCTTCGAAATATTTTTTTTAATTTTATTTTAACGAACATTAATTAACGTTCGTTTTTACGTTTTATAGGTCCTGGACGCCAAAGAACGGCTCCGGACGTTTATTTCGAAGGTAAAGTTTACCTTCGAAATATTTTTTTTAATTTTATTTTAACGAACGTTAATTAACGTTCATTTTTATGTTTTATAGGTCCTGGACGCCAAAGAACGGCTCCGGACGTTTATTTCGAAGGTAAAGTTTACCTTCGAAATATTTTTTTTAATTTTATTTTAACGAACGTTAATTAACGTTCATTTTTACGTTTTATAGGTCCTGGACGCCAAAGAATGGCTCCGGACGTTTATTTCGAAGGTAAAGTTTACCTTCGAAATTTTTTTTTAATTTTATTTTAACAAACATTAATTAACGTTCGTTTTTACGTTTTATAGGTCCTGGACGCCAAAGAACGGCTCCGGACGTTTATTTCGAAGGTAAAGTTTACCTTCGAAATATTTTTTTAATTTTATTTTAACGAACGTTAATTAACGTTCATTTTTACGTTTTATAGGTCCTGGGCGCTGAAGAATGGCTCCGGACGTTTATTTCGATAGTAAAGTTTACCTTCAAAATATTTTTTTTAATTTTATTTTAACGAATGTTAATTAACGTTTGTTTTTCATGTTTTTAGGTGTTGGGCGCCGAAGAATGGCTCCAGACGTTTATTTCGAAGGTAAAGTTTACCTTCGAAATATTTCTTTTAATTTTATTTTAACGAACGTTAATTAATGTTCGTTTTTCATGTTTTTAGGTCCTGGGCGCCGAAGAACGGCTCCAGACTCTTATTTCGAAGGTAAAGGTTTTACCTTTGAATTTTTTTTTATATTTTTATTTAACGAACATTAATTAACGTTCATTTTTATATTTATAAGTCCTGGACGCCAAAGAATGGCTCCGGACGTTTATTTTGAAGGTAAAAATCTTTGAAATATTTTTTTTTTATAATTTAACTTTAACGAACGTTAGTTACGTTCGTTTTTGTATTTTATAGGTCCAGAATGCTAAAGGTATGTTCCGGACCCATTTGAAAGTTCTGTTTGAAGGTAAAACTTTCAAATTATTTCTTTTAATTAATTTATTAACGAAACGTTCAGTTTATAATGTTTTGTTTCTTTTTTTTCAGGTAAAGGAAGCCGAAACAAGTTCCGGACTTCCATATCAAAGGTAAAACAAACCTTCGAAAATTAATTTTTTTTTTAATTAATTTATTAACGAAACGTTTCTAATGTTTTGTCTCTTTTTTTTAGGCAAAGGAATCCGAAACAAGTTCCGGACTCCCATATCGGAGGTAAGACTTTTCAAAAAAATTAATTTTTTTTAATATTTTTATTTAGCAAAATGTTAACAAACGTTTCGTCTTTTTTTTTTAGGCAAGGAAATCTGAAACCGAGTTCCAGACTCCTATATCGAAGGTAAAACCCTTCGAAAATTTTATTTTTTTTAATATTTTTATTAACGAACGTTAACTAACATTGTAAACGGTTGAATATCAAGCACGAAAAGATGATAAAATTCAACCACCAAATGTAATTATTAAATATTAAGAACGAACAAATTAATTATGGATTGGCGTAGATGGATAAATAATTAGCCGAAAAGGATAAACATTTAGGAAGAGTAATAGGAATCCCATAATTTTTACGAACTCAAATTTTTAGTGATATATAAACTAAGTGATATCTATAATGTTGATAAACATTTAGGAAGAGTAATGATCTACATGATGTAATATTTATTGAATGATTGATAAGGAACCAATAGGATAAATAGAGTCGATCAATTGCGGCTTAGCAATCTTTAACAATAAGAACGATAAGAAAGAATAATTATAAGTCACAAAAGATAGATTATAAGCAAAACACATAAAGCGAATTAAATGAACATATAAAATAATGTCAGAAAGATTAAAGAACACAAAATAATGTAAAAGATAATATAAAAAGATAGTATAAAGATGGAACGTAAAAGATAATATATTAAAAAGAACATATATAAAAAGATAGCATATAAAAAGATAGCATATTAAAAGATAGCGTATTTAAAATATAGATAGTATATTAGAAAAATAGTTCAAAGATAATATGTAAAAAGAACATAAAAGATAGTATATAGACAGAATAGAAAGTAGCATAAAAATTGTATATATAGAGAGCGGAATTCAAAGTAATTCCATAGTTCTCATCCACAGAACTCAATAAAATATAAGTTTCATTTAATTATTTGTTAATGAAGTTTAATGTTAATTAAAGTAATAATTCGTAGCGAGAGCTATCGAAGTTTGAAATTAAAGGTAAAAGTGGATATAATTTGGGGAAAATTTAGAGAAGCTAATTTTATTTTATATCGTTCAACGTTTTATATTACTAACGCTATTTATGTTGTAAACCAAGAATGTTGTTGTATATTGTTGTTGTGCGTTGATTATATTATTTGTTAATTATGCCGTCGATTATTTGCTTGTTCGTTTAATTGTTCGTTCGTTCGTTTATTCGTTCGTTCGTTTATTCGTTCGTTCGACCATGAGAATGCCCGTTCGATGTGGCAACTCTGTAAATTGATGACAGAGGGAATTGGGGGATCTCAACGTTCGTGTTTCTTTTTTTTTAGGCAAGGGAATTCGAAAACGAGTTCTGGACTCCCATATCGAAGGTAAAACCTTCGAAATTTTTTTTTTTTTATTTATTGACGAACGTAACTAACGTTCGTATTTCCTTTTTTTTAGGCAAGGGAATCCAAAAACGAATTCCGGACTCCCATATCGAAGGTAAACCCTTCGAAATTTTTTTTTCTTTTTTATTTAAACGAACGTTAACTAACGTTCGTATTTTATTTTTTTAGGTAAAGGAAGCCGAAAATGAGTTCGGTCTCCCATATCGAAGGTGAAACCTTTGAAAAAAATTTTTTTTAATAATTATACTTAACGAAGCGTTTTCTAATGTTCGTTTTTGTATTTTGTAGGAACACGGCTCTCTGGACGCTCCTGAACAGAATTTCTAAGGTAACCTTCGAAATTCTGTTTTTTTTTGTTTTTATTTAAACAAAACGTTAGCTAACGTTTCGTTTTTCTTTTTTGTTGTAGGTTTTGGTACTCCAAGGTTCCCGAAACGGGTAAATGGTAAGTTTCGCAACTCTCGTTGCGAAACTTTAAAATTTTTTTTTTTTTCAAAGAACGTTTCTAACGTTCTTTCTTCTTTATATAGGGATGCCGGGCTTCTTTAGACGAACCAGACTTGGAGATTTTTTCAGGATTTCAAAGGTATTTACCTTCGAAATTAATTTTTTTTTAATATTTAACGAAACATTTACTAACGTTTCGTTTGTCTTTTATTTTTACTTTTTGCAGGTTTACGGCTTCTGGACGGAATTTCGAAGGTAAAATTCCTTCGAAATTCTTTCATGTTTTTTAATTTGCGAAACGTTTACTAACGTTTCAGTTGTTTTTTTCTGTAGGGTTTTTTTCTCTGGCTCCTGGACGAAAGAATTTGAAGGTATATCTTCAAAATTCTTTATGATTTTTTTTTTATTCTTCTTTAACTAACGTTCTACTAACGTTCATTTTACTTTATTTTTTAGATCCTGAGATTTCGTGTCAAACATTTCGAAAGTAATAACTTTGAAATGATTTTCTTATTTCTAACAAACATCTCTGATTTTCTATTTTATTTTGTTGTTTGTTGGAATCGAACCAACTGGAACAATGTCCAAACCATTAACAACATGTAAATGTGCAGTAAAGAGATGATAAATAGCAATGACTAGTAATAGATTTCAATTGTATTTGTAAACTTGTTAATATATAATAATAATAAAAAAGTAATTTTGATTATATAAATAAATTAGTAGTAATTAATGCAATAAATTAATTTGTATTATTGTGATGTAGATTTTTATCAAAAAAAATTGCTGAGGTATTTCTAAGGTTTTTTATTTAAAAATCTGCGCAGAACTTTGTTATTTTTAAAATCTGCGCAGTTTTTTATTGGATTTTTTCTTTAATGTTTTGCGCCAGGATATAAGATCTGTGCAGATATAATTTCTGAAAATCTGCGCAGATCTGCTCCCCAAAAAATTTCCCAATGAATGGTGGTCTTTTCTTTAAGATGTCATCTAAGCTCAAAATTACTAAGTATAAAATTAATTTAATTGAGCTAGGAAGAAAAGTGGTAAAATCATACCCACCATGTAGCCCTACCGAATACAAAGTTTTTCAACTTTTTCTTAGGGTTTAAAGCCCTATTATTGAAGCATATAGAAAATGTTTGGTGTGATGAAAATAAAGTTCTTTTAAAATATGTTCTTAATTAATTTGCATATCTTGTATAATATCCTGATAAAAAACCTGATACTATTTTAGTATTACGCTCCTCCATGTTCTGGAAAAAATATCTTAACAGATTTTATTAGAAAAGAAATACTAAGATCAGAATTATTCTTTGCGACATCAAATCTTAGAAAAGTATTGGAAATATTTAATAGTCCTTTTAAATGAAGCCGGAATGGCTTTTGGAGAATGACATAAAGCCAATGATCACTTAAAATCACTTATCACTAAACCATATATAACAATGGAGTGCAAAGAATTCAAGCCTAAGACAATTACTAAAGATTTTGCTGGGTATATAGTTTTAAGTAATCATGATGCATCACTTCACATTGAAATGGGTAATAAACATAAATGTATCGTTTTGATATAAAGGAAATAAGGAATATTTTAAGCATTTAGAAAAAATTTTAAATAATTCAAATACATCTGGTGTTTTTATAAATTATTTACTTAAACGTGGCCTTTTAGATTGGATACCACAAAGGCCGATTGGCTAACGGCTAAATCAGCCAGATTGGCCAAGATCAGCAATCTTTTTTTTTTATCATCTTTTTTTTCCGGTATTTATAATTTGATTTTTGTGTTCAAATCTGACTAACTCACCAACTAAAAACAAATAAAATATAAATAAATGGCTGCTAATTTTAAAACCTTTGTGAAAATATTACCAGAAAAAGCTGATAATTGGCAAAATTATTGTATTTGTATTGCGTGTAGAGATGTTAATGGCTGTCCAAATGCATTGCTTCAAAAATTTCCATTTAAAACTGAACGAGTTAGAAATCACTTGAAAAAATGTCAACATTTTAAAAATAAATATCCTGAAATATTTTTTGAATTATTTGCATCAGAAACAAAAAGAATGGAAATTAATGAATTTGACGAAAATATTGTAAGTTCAAAAAGATTGCGTAGAGAATCAACTGGTTCAGTTCATAGTGCTATAACTTCTATATCATTGAGAAGTATTTATCTTTTATTTTATTTATTAATAATAATACTTGATAATTTTATATTAAAACTATTATTAATATTTTTTTATATAGGCAGCAATAATTCATCAGTTGGTACACTTGATTCTTTCATTAGTCTTTCATTACTAGACCACTTGCAACTCGATCATTTACAAAGGGTGAACAAGCTATATTTGAAAAATTAATGATTCAAGCAACAGTTTCTGCAGGTTTTCCTTTAAGATGGGTGGAAAATAAGGAAGTTCAAGAACTTTTTCATTTTTTAAATCCAGCATTAATTTTACCAAGACGTAAAACTTTAGGAGGACGTATATTAAATGATGAATCAAAAATTCTTGAAAATGAAATGACTAAGAAATTAATGAATGATTCTGTTGGTGTTACTTTAGTCTTTGATGGTTGGACTAATGTGTTAAATCAGAATATTCTTGGCTCTGTTTTTATTACATCAGAAGGGGAAGTAATAATTTGGAAAGCAGTAGATGTAAGCAGTGAATTAGAAAGATGGAAAGAAGTTATTGAAAAAACTGAAACAATGTTTAAGGAAATTAATTAAATGGGAGTTAATCTTATTTCTGTTGTAACTGATAGTGCTCCAAGTTATGCTGCTGCACGGTATATTTGTATATTTTTTTAAAAATTAAGTTATTAAAATATTTATTTAATATTTTATGTAAATATTAATTATATTTTATATTTTAACAGACGTAGGCTTCGACTTAAATATGTGCATATTACGTTTTTTCCATGTTTTGCACATCAGATGAATCTTTTTGTAGGCGAAATCTTTAAAGAATCTGAAAAATTTAAGCAAGCATCAATAAAGGCAATAAAAATTGCACTTTACTTTAAATCATCACTTCATAAATATTTTATTGAACAGCTTCGAACTTTACAAAAAGAATCATATGGAAAATATGTTCAAATCGCAATTGGAAATGATACAAGATGGAATAACCATTATGAATGTTTTCGCACTTTAATTAAATCAAAAGGGGCATTACGGGTATTATAATATATTTTGTTTTATTTATTTTTATATAACATTTGAAAATAATTTGTTTCTATTTTTCTAAAGACTTTAGGTTCAAAATTTGAATCTTCTGAGCAATCAACATCTTATCAAAGTTCTGATAATATATTATATCTACCTGATAATATTTCTTATATTCTACTTGACGAAACCTGGTGGCAATCACTTTCAGAACTTGTAAAAATACTTAAACCATACTGTATAATTTTGGATATTCTACAATGTGATAAAGCACGACTGCATAAAGTACTGCATGGATTTGGATATTTTATAAAATTTTGGAAAGATTATGATAACATAGAACTTAATGAGAAAATACTTGATCGACTTCAAACAAGATGGCAAAGTTGGGAACAGCCACTTTTACTTTTATTATGGCTCCTACATCCTAAATACAAGATGTCAAAATTTAAAGATAATATCCCAAATTTAAATCATGTATATCTTAGTAAGTGGCTAATTTATTATTACGAAGCTTGGACGAAAACAAAATCAAAATCAATTTTACGTGAATATGAAAATTTTAGAAGAAATATATATCCTTTTGATGAACAAACAATTAATCAATTTGAAGATGATATTTTAAAATATTGGGGATTTGTTGTTCCATTAGCAAAAGAACTTGAATATATCGCACAACAAATTTTTGGAATCTGTATTAATGCAGCATCAGTAGAAAGGCTTTGGTCAAATATGGGATTTCTACATACCAAAAGGTGCAATAGATTAAATGTAAGTAAAATAATATTATTTTAAATCTATAAAAAAATTATAATTTAATGTAATAATAAATAATTTATTTTTTAAATAGTATGAAAAAACACTTAAAATGAGCAAATTACGTGCTGCAATTTCATATAAACATAGGGTTAATGAAGTGAAAACTATTCAACAACAAAAAATGAAAGAAAATATTGCTGAACCAATAGTTCCTATAATTATTAATAGTAATGATAATACAAATTTAGAGAATCAAGAAAAAAATCCTATTAACTTAGAAATCCAAAAAGAAAATTCTAACACTCAAGATGATGATTCAGATGAAGAAGGTGAAAATAATGAATTCCAGGTTTCATTAAATTGGAATAATCTAATTAATACATGGAGGCAATTATTATTACAGGAAAAAGAAGCAGAGTTGAGTGCTGTAACTGATTTACATTGTGATGATGATATAGATATTGATGAATTTTTATTAAATAGAACACATCCTGCATTAGATAATGAAGCTAAATGGAATATAAGAGACATTTTTATTGATAATTTAGATGTCCCATTTTTTGTTAATGAAAATACTTCAAATTAACTAAATTTATAATAAAAATGAATTAAATAATTGAATTTAAATGTTACAAATTTTAAGTAGTTACTTTTTTTTAATATTTATATATAAAAATTTTTGGCCATTTTTTGGTCAGCCAAACAGGCAATGTCTAAGCCTGGCCAAATGGCCAATGGCCAACACTAACTTAATGCATTACTACAGGATTGGAAGGGTCGTAAATATGTTAAAGATCTCCTAACCTGATGCAAATTTAGTAAAAAGAAGATAGGGGCTCTCATATCAGATAAAAGAAAAAAAAAGTTTACTATAGAGAAGAGGGCAAAATATTGTGCTAAGACTGCTAATAGGTGGGATATTCACCACCATAGTATAAATTTAGGACTGAAAAATAATGATAAAAAAAAAGTAAAAGCAGGCGTCTCATACTAATATTGATTTTGTGAGAAATTAGTGAAAGCTGGGGTGGATCTCAAAATTATTAATACCTATACTATACATGCCACCCAAATTATTTTGGACTGCCGTAATTATAAGTAAAATCCCAAATTCAATTATGGCATCGGGCATCCCAAATTATTTTGGCACTTTACATAGTAAATTATATATAAACCGAATGAATTATGGCATCCCAAATTATAATTATGGCATCCCAAAATAATTTGGGCAGCATGTATAACCTATGCCAAAGATTCAGACCTTATCCAAAGATCTAATAAAATTCAAAAAGTTTATCATCTGTTATGCAAGCTCTTTGATAAAAATGGTTCCTAAGGAACTAAATTAATCACATATATTAGACTTGAATGCTAAAACCTATAGGTGCCAAAATATGTTTGGGATTTGACATATGCTGAAATATAGTTTCAGAATTTTGCTGAAATTCCAAATTCCAAATCCCAGACTATTGCCAAAATTCCAAACTATTGCTGAAATCCCAAACTGTTGCCAAAATCCTAAACCTTTATCGAAATCACAAATAATTGCCAAAACCCAAAACTGTTGCCAAATCCTAAAAGTATAATCTATATAATATAATAAAAAACTAGCCAGTACTTTTTTTCTAGTACCCATGGTTTATATAGGATACGAAGGAGGTGATACAGTAGAATAATTCATAAAAGTTTTGGTAGTGATACCTACCAACATCCTACTGGAGTAGTGTTCTGCACGAATCGATTCATGATACAGTGTGACCCTAATTGCTCCCGAATAATAAAACCGTATTTTGCGAATAACTTTTGATTTAGCAGTCCGATTTTGACGATCTTTTCTTATTTTGATCAGAGCAATGAGTCCTATCGATTAAAAAAAAAGATCATTAAAATTGGATTACTAGATCCTGAGATAATAATTTTTGGAAGTCAAATCAAGTCTAAATCGAGTCCGAATCAAATTGAATTTTAAAGGAGAAATTTGATTCATGCAAAACACTATACTGAAGGCATTGTATCAAAGTCCTCATCTTAATAGAGGTCGTATTGATCTTATTATTTTATCACTCAAATAATAAAGTTAATGTTTATAAGTAATTCAGTAAAAGAAAAATTAATATTAATTATTATAAAAACTTACCGTATATTGCCTAAGGTTGCTTGCCGAAATTAGGTAATTTAGGCCAAGACCGAAACTTTTTTGTAACCAAAAGTTTAGGCAATCAAAAATAAATTTGCCAAAATTTATAATGCCGAAATTATTGCCAAAAGTTCGAAATTTGACCAAAATTATTGGTATAATTCTGGTTATTTTTAGGACGTTATTCTGACCAGAAAATGATCGACATTATAAATTTCCTTTTTTGGAACTTTGTGTAATCTTTGTGAAACTGATTTCACCAATTTTACTGGGAAATAAAATTTCCTTTTTTTGGAAATCAGTGTAATGTCACGTGACAATATCATAATTTTGGCCGAATTTTAATTTTGGCCAAAATTAAGACCGAATTTCGGCCTAATTTCAGAATTTTCAGCATTTGATTTGATTGGTTGAAATCTTTTAGAATTTCCTTTTTAGTTTTAGCAGGCAACCTTAATATTACTAAACTGAACCGAAAAAAAAATTTTGGTTCAGTTCAGAACTCTAATTTTGGATTTTGGCAATGGTTTTGATTTCGGCAATGATTTGAGATTTTGGCAATGGTTTGGGATTTTGGTAATGATTGTGAATTTCGGCAATGATTTGAATTTTGGAAATGATTTTAGATTTTGGCAATAGTTTGGGATTTTGGCAATGATTTGGGATTTTGGCAATAGTTTGGGATTTTGGCAATGATTTGGGATTTTGGCAATAGTTTGGGATTTATGGATTTCAGAAACTATTATATGCTGAAAAGTGTTTCGATTTCAGCATATAGCCAAAAGGTTTTGGCACTTAAGTATAACATATATGTAAGATTGCTGGAGAAACTAGGGGATTTTGACAAATTGGCGAAATGCTGAAATGGTGAAATTTTGCCAAAACTATATGAAAGTCTTATTAAAAAGTTGGCGAAACTTTGGAGAAAAGCGAAACCTGATGAAACTTATTAGTATAAATGCTGAAACTGCTGAAACCTTGCCAAAACTATAATAAAACTATAGTAAAATTTTGGAGAAATTAATCATAGAATTTTGGAGAGGTTTAGGTAGGCAACCTTACATATATGATTAGAAAATCAGGATATCATTTATTAATTTTATTTTTTTTGCTTCTTTTGATCTATTAATCTGTGAAAGATAGTCTACCCTTTTAACTAGAGCAACTTGCTCTAATATCTTATCTGATAGAGTTACTTTTTTTTGAATAAATATAAGAAAAAAAATAGATATATTATATATAAAATATCATGAAAATGGTAACCAATCAAAAGCATTTATCTAATAGTATAACTAGCAAAGAGAAAATTATTAGACATATAGAAAAAATAGCTCAGTTATTTGGACTGGATGAGTAAAATACAAAAGCATATAAAGCACTCTCTGGACAGATTTGAGTATTAGAAAAAAAGCTGGAAGATTATCATTTCGAATATGTAAAGTTTAAAAAGAAGGTTAATTTATTGGAAGTTGAATTGGATGATCTGGATAAATGTGTAGATAGGAAGACTGTAATCGATTTAATACAAGAAATAGTTCTTTTGATAATTGGTAAAAAAGGACTGAAAAGCAAGAATAATTGAGGAATCCTATAGGTATTAGGTAAAAAAAAAAAAAGGATGTCCCTCATAAATAATGAAGGAGAGCGTGACCAAGAAAGGTTAAGCAGGTGGTAATTTGAAGTGGGCTGAACCAGGATTTTATTTTTTATTTAAAGATACAACATATATCATTTATAGCACAATCAAGTATTTTTAATATAGCAGAAGTATTAGAACAGATTTTACATTTTTTAGCGATAAATAAATCTTTCTATTCTACTCTATTTGTTTTCTAATTGTAGTACAGATGTAGTACTCCTATTTTATGAAAACATGTTGAACTAAAGGGAAATGGCCTGAAATATGGATATCATTTTCCAGAAGATTATAATTATTGTGCAAGAAAACATACTTGTTTGAAAAGATTTGTAAAAATAATGTGCGAAAAGCATAAGCCTGCTTATGTTTCAAATCTAACCCATCTAGAAATTACTTATTACTATTCACTTTCAGATAAAAAATAAAAAGTATTGTGGATATATTTTCAAATATGATTCATTTAGATTTTAAAAATAGTATAGGTTTTAGTGATAGATCACTATTTATAATAGCAGAATCATATTTTAATTTAAGATATTTCAATTTGTAGGATGCTCAAGCAATAACCGATAAAGGCTTATATGCAATCATACGATTATGCCATAAATTAGAATATCTTAATATTTCTTACTGCAGAAATATTACCAATAAATCTTTGTTTGAAATCACAGAAAATTGTTATGATATACAAGTGTTTCATTTTGCTAAAGCATATCAGATTACAGATAAATCTATAAGTTGCATCTTAAACTCATGCCCAAATTTATAAAATCTTAATATTGTATATAGTAAGAAGGATGTCAAATATGCTAATATGTTAATACAGAGATGTCTTAACATAAAGTATCTTGATTTTGTTGGTGTCATGGCTTTTTGTAATGATGCATTAATTGTGGCAATATCAGAGCATTTCTGAATTAAGATATTTAGAGATCAGACATAATGATATTGGTGATGAGGTTACTGAAGTATTGGCTTATTCTTACTATAAATTAGAATATCTTGATTTAAGTTGCTATAAGTTTGTTAGCGAACTATTGATTTGTAATATTATATGTTCCTGTCCAAACCTCCAACATCTTAACTTTATTCACTGCAATATTACAAGTATGACTATTAAAGAAATTGCTTGCTCATGTCTCAATTTAAAATTTCTAGATTTGGAAGGATGTAAAAATATTAGCAAAAAAACTATGGACCAGTTAAATCCAAATATTCATATCAAAAATTTTGATGAAGTTTACTGTTCTGATTCAGAATCTTCTAGTTCTAAAACTGAATCAGAGTGCTGATTTTCAGTTCAAAAGATATCACATTTTTTTCAATTATCTCTGCCAGATTTACCATTAGATGTATATAGGGAAAACTTTTCACAATATTCTTTTTAGAGATTACTAACCGATCAAGCAGAATAGTTGTACTTTATCAATCTAACTAATAATTCGGAATGGTAATCATCAGCTTAGAAGATTTTTTGCTGAACTTCATATGTACTCCTATGTAACAAAAAAATATATATATTAGCTAACCTGTTCTAGACTATACTTCTCTGCTAATTAATTACGTTATATTTTGGTGAACAGACCAATTCACTATTTATTATAAAATTACTATGAATTAATTATGTCTATCAAAATACATTACGTTTATCAAAATAAATTTAATTAGTATTTTGTCATTTTGACAAAAAGTATATTCTAGACATAGACACTAGCTGAATTTTCACACAATTAAAATAATGATAGTTACTTTCCAGTAAAATAAAATATTTCCACTTCTTATAAATGAATTTCTGTATTAATATACCTGGACCAAAGGCACTAAAGGTAAGAAACTATCAAAAGTTTTAAAGATACACTTTTGCATTTTTATTGGCTTCTTCTAATCCATTTATTTCCTGATCAGAATGACTGACAATACCAAGAACATTCTGAATCATGCTTATATTCTCTTCCAAATATAAAAGCAAATAATATAATGCAGTATTAGGTAATTGAACAATTTGATATTTTGGACATCTGCCCAAAATTCTATCCAAAATCTGTCCAAAACTAAAACCTTTTTTCATTGGACAAGTTTTAGATAGATCACGTGATTATTAAATTAATTTGGGCCAAAATTATAACTAATTCTGGTAAACATTATATAAAATAAATGTTAATTACAAATTTATATTAGCATTACTAAATTTTAAACCATTATTTAATAATTATTTATTATTAATATTATGTTATTGAATGAAAAAAATTATAATAAACTAATTACATATTTAATTAATTAAATTTTGAAAATACAGATATAAATTCTGGCCTTTCCAATTCTCTAATAAAAAGATCTCGTAAGTTCCACTTTGCATCAGCATTAATAGTAGGGTGGATATATATATGAATTTAATAGATCATTATCACTACAATTTAATGATTCCTTTGTAACATCCAAATTTTGTGCTTTTTCTTCTTTCATTAATAGCTCATTCCATTCATTCAGACATTCAATCCAATCTTGTTCAGTTGTTATGTAATCAGATGTTTCTTGTAAGTCTTCAAGTATTCTTTCAGCTTCATTTTGTTCTGTATTACCAGTTTCTTGTTCACCTGCTGATTCAATAATTGGTGGTGCAATATTTACCTTTATTTTTTCAGATTCATGTTTCCTTTTTTTTTTATTTTCAGTCTGATGAATATCTGCTTGAAGTTGAGCTATAGCTACAACTCTTTCATGCTAAATAAATAAAAAAAAAATAATTAGTAAATATCAATAATATATAAAAAATAAAAGAAATAATTTATTTATCGCACGTGCGATGCAAATTTTTATGTTTATCATTGCCATTTTAAGGGGGGTGGCGATGTATAAGCAGGTTGATCAACATAAATAATTTACAAAAAAGGAAAGTGGCGATGCATCGCACGTGCGATGAATAAATTTACTCAAAATAAAATAATATTGCCTTTGATTTGTTTTTTCAAGAAGTGTGCAAAAATCCTATAAATAAGAATAATTGTTCTATAGAAACTGAGTTTACACAAATACTGAAAATTTTGTTGCTATAAATCCTAATTCCTTACACATTATAGAACAATAGTACTAATATGCCAAAACATCATCACCAAATTGCTCATATATTTCATTATTAAAAGGTAATTTTTTAACTCAATAAGATTCAAATTATGCAAGTAGTTTTGTTGGTTTTTCAGATGTCCAAGCTTTATAATAATAATCAAGCCAAATTCCTATTGTTACAAAATTGATTGTTTCTAAGTTAGGATTAAATTTGTCAAGGTGATATTTGGGATGAAGTACAAAAGAAAGTAATAGTATAAATTGTTCCCAGTTATTCCAACATTTTTCAAAATGTGAAATTATGCCTTCAGACAAGAATTGATCTGTATTCTGCTCCCAAAATTTAATAAAATATCCAAAAGATAAAGCAACATCATATAGTTGAGCCTTATCTATTTGCAATTTACCAAATGCTCCACAGTAAGGTTTTATTAATATTGCAAGTTGCGAAATACGGGACCAAAATAAATCACCTATAATTATTTGGCAAATATCAGTTGGAAAATATAATTCAGTAGATTTTGATGAAGTTTCTTCAGAAGGCTCATAACGAGTAACTAAATTCTATTTAAAGAATAATAAATTAGTATTTAATTTTTAATATTTAAATTAATAAATTTCACTTACCTTCAATGTCTATTTAGTCTGAATTAAACTTAAATAACATTCATAATAAGAATTCTATTTTGTATCGCCAGATTTTATTATTGCATAATATTTTGAATAAAGTTCTCGTTGAATATTTTGTAATTTTCCAATAAAATATACATTATTAGAATGATTAAAATAATTAACCAATTTGATGGCATTAGTAGATGCATTTTTCAAGATACTAGATTCTTTAAAAATCTCTCTAACAGCTAAATTGCATTGATATGCAAAGTATGACAAAAATACATATTGAAAGTATTTGAGATAAAGCTGCCATCTAAATAAAATAAAAATTCATTAAATAAATTAAAAAAAAAAATAAATAAATTTAATATATAATAATTACATAATCAACTTACCATGCTGAAGCATATGCCGCAAGCTACTTTAATTGATTGTTCCTTTAAATCATTTAATATTATTTCTTCTATTTTTGGTATAACATCAATTGCACGTCCTCTTTGATCACTTATATCTACTGCTTTCCATATCAAAGTTTTACCAGAAGGTAATATAATCATAATTTCAAGTAATTCTTGATTTATCAATTTATATTACATTTCAAAATTAAACTACTTTAAACTTTAAAATTAAAAGTTTTCGTTTCTCTGATCCTAAAATTTGTAAAAAAAAAAAAAAATTTCAAAAACTAATTCAATATTTATAAAATAGGGATTAAAATTTGAATGCACTTGCGTTTGAACGCACCTCTCTTTTTTGGAAATTTTTATATAATAAAAATGCTGATCATTTTATCACGTAATACTGGCAAATTTCTAATTTTTTGAATAAATGCAATTTATACCTTATATACCTATAAATAAACTCACATTATATGCGTATTTTTGCCTCCTCTACAACTTTACTTACTATGACAAAAGGGGTTTAAAACTTCATTTTTGAGCTATACTATGGGGGTGCATTCAAACGCAGGTACGTTTAAAATTTAAACCCTATAAAATAAAATAAAAAAAAATATTAAAAAATTTTTTTTTTAAGCAATATCTTTAAAACTTATCTATTTAAAATTCAAAATAAAAAAAAAAATTAAATTATTTTTTTTAATAAAAACAAAGTCATCTATTCAATATTTAAGAACTGAAATCAAAATTACAAAATAAAAGAAAAAAAAAAATAAAAAAAATTATTTTAATAAAAAAGATTTGAGCAAAATCTTCAAAACTTTAAAAAAAATAAAATTTTGAAGTATTGTTTAAAATAAAATTCACCTATTTAAAACTTAAAAATTAGAGCCAAATAGAAAAAAAAATCAATAAATTAAATTAAAAAAAAATAAAGTTTTAAAGTGTTATTTAAAATGAAACTTACTTATTCAATATCCAAAAACTGAAGCTGAAATCTATAAAATAAAAAAAAATTAAATTATTTTTTAAAAAATAAAATAAAATCTCAAAGTATTATTTAAAATGAAACTCATTTATTTAATATAAAGAACTGAAACAGGACCTGAATAATACTAATATAACTCACAAGTAAACTTTAAGTATTGAAGTAAAAATACATTTTATGACATAACTTTGTCAATATTGAAGCTAAGAATTTGATTTTACTATCATTAGAATTCTCTCATTGAGATGAATCTAATAATATAAATTTTATTAAAATAAAATTACTGGTTGTGTTAAAAACAGAGGTATATAGGATATAAAGCTCTGAACGGTTCGGGCTAAACCGGGGAACCGATCCGAAACTGGCTCAAAATTCGGTTCGGTTCGGTTCGGATATTAAAACTGAAAAACCGGCGGTTCAGTTCGGTTTAATCCGATTTTTTATAAAAATGCGAAAAATCGAATAGCCGGCCATCTAGTGATCGTATAAAGTCAAGCCATATATCATTGAATTCGTCTCGACGAGACGCGTCGAATGGTGGTAAGATCATGTCTCTAGCATCGATAGAACACACGTTAACCCACGCTAAATGATTTATCAATAATTTGAATTAGCAAGCTATCTATCGGTGCTAGAGACATGATCTTAATGCCATTCGACGCGTCTCTGTGAGACGAATCCAATGAATATAAATTCGTTCGTGTACGACCACTATATGGCGAATAATATCAAGTTTCGCATTTTTTAAAATTTTCGAGCGTTAAAAATTAAAAATTCCGATACATGAATTTATTCGTCGTCCAATGGTCATACAAATATGAATTAGGACTCATTGGATTCGTCTCGATGAGACGAGTCGAATGGTGGTAAGAGCACGTCTCTAGCATCGATAGATAGCTTGATAATGCCAATTTTTTATAAATTATTTAGCGTGAATTAACTTACGATCTATTAATGCTAGAAACATGATCTCACCACCATTCGACTCGTCTCATCGAGACGAATCCAATGAATCCTAATTCATATTTGTACGACCATTAGACGACGAATAAATTCATGTATCGGAATTTTTAATTTTTAACGCTCGAAATTTTTAAAAAAATGCGAAACTTGATATTATTCGCCATCTAGTGGTCGTACACGAACAAATTTATATTCATTGGATTCGTCTCACAGAGACGCGTCGAATGGCGCTAAGATCATGTCTCTAGCACCGATAGATAGCTTG